CAGATGTCTTCTCTAAATTTTTCAATTGTACATTAAGTTTTAAAATGCAAAGTGGGAAGTCTTCTGAATATATTATTCCTGAAATAGGTGATACTATCCCAAACTCAGAGAGAACAGCTTCAGCTGTAAGATCTACCAAAATGCACTGCTGTCAAGTTGATACCGACTCATAAGCAACCTTATAGGACAGAATAGAACTGCCCCACAGGATTTCCAAGGCTGCAAATCTTTATGGAACCCACATCTTTCTCCCATAGAGCAGCTGATAAGTTTGAACCATCAACCATCAACCTTTCAGTTAGCAGCTGAGCACTTTAACTACTGTTCCACCAGGCTCCTTTACAAGATAAAAGCTACAAATATCAGTAAGAAGGGGAAACTATGTGCTTTAAAATCAAGAAGGGAATGCATCAGGATTCATTCATTCAATGCATCTTTTCACCATACTTATTCAATCTGTACACCAAGCAAATAAACTGAGAAGCTGGACTATATGAAGAACATGGCATCCGGATTGGAGGAAGACTCATTAACAACCTGCGATACGCTAAGGACACAACTTTGCTTACTGAAAGTAAGGATGACTTGAAGCACTTCAAGGATGAAGATTGAAGAATACTGTCTGCACTACGGATTACACTCCAGTATAAAGAAAAAAAATCCTTACAACTGGACCAATAAGCAGCAGCACAATAAATGGAGAAAAGATTGAAGTTGTCAAAGACTTCGTATTACTTGGTTCTACAATCAACACCAATGGAAGCAGCAGTCAAGATATCAGACGATGTATGTTGTTGTTGTTATGTACCATAGAGTCGGACCCGACTCATAGCGACCCCTCCTTGGGTTTCTGAGGCAGTACACTACGGAAGTAGATTCCCCCATCTTCCTTCTGAGGAGTAGCTGGTGGGTTTGAACCTCCAGCCTTCTGGTTAGCAGTCAAGTGCTTTAGGCACTCAGCTACCAGAGCTCCCAGAGGACGTATAGCACTGGGCAAATCTACTTCAAAAAACCTCTTTCAAGTGCTAAAGAGCAAAGAGATCTCCTTGAAGAAAAAGATGCACCTGACACAAGCCATGGTATTTTCAATCACCTCATAAGCATGTGAGAATTGGACAACGATGCTTGTGAGTTGTGGTGTTGGCGAAGAATGCGGAAAGTATCATGGACTACTAAAAGAACTAACAAATCTGTCCTGGAAGAAGTGCAGCCAGAATGCTCCTTGGAAGCTTGAATGGCCAGACTTCGTCTCACCTACTTTGGTCATGTTGTCAGAATGGACCATTCCCTGGAGAAGGATATCATGCTTGATAAAAGTGGAGGGTCAATAAAAAAGGGAAAGGTCCTCAACAAGATGGACTGACATAGTTGGTACAACAATGAGCTCAGGTATAGCAAGGATGCTGGAGCTGGCACAGCGCTGGGCAATGTTCCGTTCTACTGTACATAGGGTTGCTATGAGTCAGAGACCACTCGACAGCACCTACCAACAACAACATCAGTAACATCACAGTAGTCATAACCACATAACTTAAATTTAGAGAGCAGTTTTTTACTTATCAAGGAGCTCTGGTGGCATTGTGGTTAAGGCATTGGGCTGCAAACCAAAACATTGGCAGTTTAAACTCACCAGCTACTTGGCAGGAGAAAGATGAGGCATCTGCTTCTGTAAAGATTTACAGCCTCAGAAACCCTGTGAGGGTCACTGTCAGTCAGAATCAACTCAATGGCAGTGATTCCCCCCCCCCAAAAAAAAAAAAAAACACCGTTTAATTATTTATTTAAATTAATTATTTAACTTTATTATTTATTTTAATTAATTATTTAATTTCAGCCTCACAATAAAACTTATGAAGCTAGTGGGACCTCTTTTTCTAACCTGTAAAACAAAGACATCAGTTCAGTGGATGGTAATCAAATCCTTTTAATGATCAGAGTCTGACCTGTTAACCCTGTTTTGCAGCTCAGAAAATAAAGGCCCAGAGTAGTGGACAAACATGTCTTTTGGGCAGTGTCTCCTCTGCTGAAAGTCCCCATCAGGGCTGCATGAAATCAGCACCAGGAGAAGAGGCAGGTAGTTATGATTTCTTGACAGGTGTGACCTTCTAAAACACAAGGACGATGCCAGCCACCCCTCTTCACTCAAAAAAGATGAAGCCCATCCCAGTGCTTCTGCCCCCAACAAGAACAGGGTCACATGAACACAAGGATCAACTTTATTCAACAACTTTTATTGAGCAATAAGAGAGTGGGGACCTGATTCTGTACTAGTGTGGTGTTATGGTGTGTTATATGGTGTGATGTTATCAGACTTATTTGCTAAGGCAAGTTTCTGTTCCAAAGATGAACAGGGGTAGAGCCCAAAGCTGTTTTTATTTTTTATTGCATCCAGAAACAATGGTTACCCCAATCAATTAAAACAATGATTTAAGACTATACCCAAATGGAAGTGGGTCTTATTTTCAGTATAAGATGGAGCACCATAATAAGAGTGGCAAAAGCACTGGAGATGGAAAATACCCATGGGAGCCAGCATGAGATTTTCCACCAGACCTATGGGTCCATGTAAACAAAAATCCTCACAAATGGACCAATAAGTAACATCATGGTAAATGGAGGAAAGACTGAAGTTGTCAAGGATTTCATGTTACTTAGATCCACAACCAACACCCACGGAAGCAGCAGTCAAGAAATTAAACGTCATACTGCACTGGGTAAATCTGCTGCTAAAGACCTCTTTAAAGCACTAAAAAGCCAAGATGTCTCTTTGAAGACTAAGGTGTGCCTAACCCAAGTCAGGGTATTTTCAATTGCCTCAGATGCTGGACAACGAATAAGGAAGACCGAAGAAGAGCCTTTGAATTGTGGTGTTGGTGAGAAAAACTGAAAGTACCATGGACTGCCAGAAGAACAATCTGTCCTGGAAGAAGTGCAACCATAATGCTCCTTAGAAGCAAGAATGGCCAGACTTTGTCTTACCTACTTGGGTCATGTTGTCAGAAAGGACCAGTCCCTGGAGAAGTTTACCATGCTTGGTAGAGGGTCAGTGAAAAGGGGGAAGACACTCAATGAGATGGATTGACACAGCGGCTGCAACAATGGGCTCAAGCATGGCAGGGATTATGTAGACGGTGCAGGACCAGGCAGAGTTTCATTCTGTTGTACACAGGGTCACTGAGTTGGAGCCAACTCAATGGCACCTAACAATAGTAACATGACTCCATGTAACCCTGCAGAGATGCCTCTGGTGGTGCAGTGCAGTTGGCATTGCCTCGGCCAAGCATTCTCTGGGGGTGGAAGGCCCACACAGACCCTGGGAGTATGTGGTGACTAGCATGTTCCCATTTTTGGGTATGTTGGCTTCAGGCATGACTCTAACATTAGTGTTCACAGGTGGTGTCTTCTCCATTTCCCCCAGAAACCAATATAGCTGAGTTATGCAAATTCTTCTAACTCCTAGTTAAAAAAGAAAAATTAAGATGCAGAATCTTAGGTAAATGCAATCTAAATTTAAACCTATTATTTCACCTCATGGTTTATAAGACAGAATCAGGGTTTTCTTTATTACTGTAGGATCAAATTGCAAAACAATTTTTTTTTCCTGCCTTTGATCATTGGTCTTGATTACTATGCAGTTCTCAGTGCCTTAAGCATAACAGATGCTCCATAAATATCTGCAAAATGGACGAATAAATGGTTGATGGTATCCACTGTGTACTGGTGACTCCTACTAGTTTTAAAGCTTCAAGGAATTAACAAAATTTAGGGTGGGAGAATTCATATAGCAACTGTAAAAAGAGGTGGGAAATAATCTTTACAGAGTTTCCTGACAGCCCTTTACATAGGAAAGGGCTTAATAACTACCCATGAGAAGATAAGTTAACATGCCTTCACATAAGCTTTTGTTTTAAAGACTCAATAACAAAACTTTAGTGTTGCATCCTACATACACTCTAAAAGTTTTATTTTCCTATATAACTTTTTACAAGAGTTGAGACCTAAAACTGAAAGAAAACTTCTTAATAAACACTGCTAGCTGTGGGGAACAAAAAGCTGAAGCCTTCCCCCACTAAGACTGTAAAGAGCTCCCTGAGTGATGGGTCTACCTTAGCACAGCTGGGTCTTGGAATGTGCCAACTGCTGCTCCAGAAAAGAGGGTCCAGGTAGAAAGATGTCAGCAAAGCAGCCATCCCAGGCCACCTGTTCAGGACTCCAACTTCCCATTCAGCCCAGCTTTGGAGCACTGGCTCTTCCTTGTGAACACAAAGGGGCCAAGCCCTGCTAGGCAGGCGCATGGCCACACCTGTGCTAGCTTGGAGATAGGCCAGGTGCCATTCCTCCTAGGTTTATGAAAATCACCAGTAGCACCCTGAATCCCCAGCCTTGTCTGGCGTTCCCCTTTACTTCTAGAACAATCAATCTGTCCTTGTTCTAAGACCTTAAAGAAAGTCAGTAAAAAGAAGAAAACGGGAGGGCTGTGACCATGCTGGAGTTAATGTGTAAGTTCTGGTGAGGACCAGCACACAGTCACAGAAGTGGAGGTGCCTTGGAAACAGGGCTTGGAACCAGTTCATTGCTGTTCAACCCCTTGCTGAGAATTTTCATTTCCACCCCAAATAGACAGAATGAAAATCTACATTTTAGATCCCTAGGTGAACTGTATAGATCATACGTATTGATGTATACGTAAGAATCACCTGGGGATCTTGTTGAAATGTAGATTCTGATTCAGTAATACCTGGGATGGAAATGCAGTCTCAGCAGGAGGTTGACCCAGAATGATTCAAAGCCCTGCTGGAGACACCCTCCAGGATTCTGGAGAAAAGATGAAACAGGAGGGCCAAAAGGGACTTGAGGGACCATTGTTGGTTTTAGCTATAACAATGACACTATTTCAGACAAACAAGTCAGAATCCTCTTCTGTCCCACACTGAGCACAGAGGATGGCAGTGCAGAGTAAATCACCAGTCTGTTCCAGGCCTTCTGTTCCTGTAGCTCAGTTAGTTGTAGGAAAGGAAATCAATGAGCCGGGGAGGGATATTTAACTTGGCGATTTTCTCCAGTCCTCTTACTCCAGTGGCCTTCCTCAAGCTCACTCTGCAAAGCTGTGACAGGGTCAGAGGTGTCTCTGGGAGGGGGTGGGAAGAGCAAGGAAGTATGTGAAGATAGTTTAAGGTAATGGCATAATATCCTTACACATAATACACACAAAGATGGAATTGGAAAAACCTCCCTTGCCCTTAAAGATAGGTTGTAACCTACATGCCTTATCTGGAAAGTTACTAGAAAGGACAGTCAGGGACCTGAGAAAGGAAAATCAGGAAGTAGAATTCGGTTGAGGTCCACTGGTGTTTAATTTAATTTATTATTTATTTATTTATTTATTTTGAGCCATAGTGTTATAAATTGGCACACAGATTTGTCAGCAAAGAGTTCATCTGTGGCAAGTAGGCTCATCTGTAAAACTTGCAGACAAACGAGGCACTGGTGGGAGGTTTAGTGCTTGGGCAGGTGCTAGCTTCCTGCTGCTCCAGGCCACAGGTTCTACTCTGCTTAGTTAATGCTCCTGTTACAAGGCACCCTTGTAAGAGCATCAGCACCAAACAGGTTCAGCAGACACAGTACTCAAAATGTATTCTAGAGGTGATGGGTCAGGACCTGCAGATTAAAGGCAAAGCTCTCAACTGGAGTTCAAGGAGGGATAGCAAACTGGGAACAAAAGACAAAAGATGGCCCAAAGATCCCTGGTGGCTAACGGGTAGAAATACTCTCAAAGAAAAGCCTGGGCTCACTTTCATAGTACTCAAAGCACTTTGCTGGGGCGCTGCTGCTCCATGTATAGTCAGAAGGCTTCTTCCCTCGGTTGTCTCTGGCATATATGTTCCCTCCAAATTCAATGAGCATCTCAATGAGGTCCACGTTCTTCACCTTGGCAGCGTGATGAAGGGCTGTCTCATGAAGTTTTGCTGCATTCACGTTGGCCCCTAGGAATCCAGAGGGGGAATATTTACCACCAAGGAGAGACCTTGAGGCCAGGAGAAAAGCTTGCCAGGCACAGTTTACAAAAGCAATCCCCATCCACAAAACCAAATCAGAACAGACTCTACTGCAGCTTTTTTAAAACCTGAAAGCAGGAGTTACTTTTCTCTTGTAGGAAGAGGGCCAAAGGCAGGTAGCAGTGATACAGAAATAGAGCTGGAAGTAGAACCAAAAAAAGAAGAAAAACAAAACAAAAACACTTCCTCATGAATTAAATGTTAGTTCTAAGGCCTTACGCCATCTGTCCCTGGGTTCTCAGACCTCTGAACACTCAGTACTAGGCAAGCTCTCCTGCCTTTCCTGACAGACATGCCGACTTCTTCCCTAGTGAGGTCACTAAGCAGAAACTTTAAAATATATGTTGAATGAAAGAATATTCTTTAAAAATAAATATTCTTTTAGAAAAGGAGAAACAAAGAGAATAGGTAATGTTTCCCCAAAAGTCATGGAATTCAAATAAGAGATTAAGTATCTCAACTCTGAGAGTTCAATGTACCCTCCAAATCTTTCTCAGGACAGCAGCAGACAATCAGAAAGATACAAAGAAATTAAATAAACAAGAAAACGTTTTTTAAATAAGAAAATAAAGATTACTTTTGTTTGTTTTTAATTTTATCTTGTTGTTGAGAATATACACAGCAATACCTGCACCAATTCAACAATGTTCAGTGACACTGATTATTCTTTGAGTTGTGCAACCATTCTCGCCCTCCTCTTCTGAGTTCTCTCCTGTTAACATAAACTCACTGCTCCCTAAGGTTCCTATCTCATCTTTCGAGTTGCTGTTGTCAATTTGATCGCATATGCATCCTGTGAAACCTGTGAGAGCTGGAACTCAACGGGACTGCCTTGTTTTTCTGGAACTCTGCAAATTTTCCATTTTTGACAGGGTGTCGTCTCACTGCTTTTCTATTGCTTATTTTAGTGGAAAATATTCACATTTTCCTTCTCTGACAGGATTGCATTTTACATAGTTTCAGCTTTTGCAGGTTTTAACTATAGTTCTTAAAAGAGCATCATGCTCAAGGCAGACAAGAAAATTAAGATTCTGATTTTAAACAATACATTGAAACATCATTCTTAGAGCACAGCCATCACCAGTTTCATGCAATGAGATCTCCTGGAGCCTCAGAATTTCTTTTGAAGAAAATATTGACATTTCAAAATCCTCTCCTCAGTGGATAAGGAGATTATACAAGAAAGGAGATAGACAAAAGTAAATAAAGAAACCAAGCAAATATCCCAGTATCGGTAAAGTAATCCTCCAAAATAATAAGATTCAAATCACAAACATACAATATTATCAAAATAATATTAAAGGTTAAAAAATATCAGAGTAGCAGCACACCTTCCTTAGTAATAAATTTAGAGAGTCAGGAGGGGAGTGAAAAAGGAATATAAAGCTATTAGCCTTGCTAGTCCCTCTGTTCAAAAAGTATTTGAAAAATTCTGCTTTCTAATTTCTGAATTAAAATAATCCCCTAACAGAATGTAAGAATTACGTTCATAACAGTGTCCACTGTGTGTGATCCTAAGACTACAGCAAATACTGTAGCATGATAATACAAGTGGACAAAAGCACTTTGTACTTCCCATGGCCAAAACTCAGAACGTAGTCCAGGGAAAAGAATCCTTCAATTAGGATGAAGGCTAAACTATCTAATTATGTAACTTGGCAAAAGTGTTTTACCAAAATAATATATGAAAGCAGTAAATAAAAATTCCCCCACAATCCAACTACTCTGTCATATCAAGGGTTTTCTTCCAATGCTTGCCTATATGAATAAATACTTTTTTGTAGTATTGCAACCATAATTCACATATAAATTTGAATGCTGAACACAAACTTGTAATGAAAAATAAATGGGAAAGTCCACAGACTCTGAAGTCCTTTCTCACCCATCATTAACTCTTGCAATATTCATGCCAAGTGGGAAGGAAAGAGGCACAGGGAAAATAAAGCTACTGTCACAGAGCACAGAGAAAACTATAGCTGCAAATCATTAATGTGCTCACCTGTTAACAGAAAAGTTGGCATTCAATAGAGCACAGTTCTACCCTGGCACACAAGGGGTCACCATGAGTTGGAATTCAGTCCTGTGTACCCAAATTATTCCATGTACAGGGCTTTGGACATGGTGACTTACAAAGAGGCAGGCTTTCCAAGGGTACAGAACCAAAACAAAACTTACTGCCGTCGCATCGGATCCGACTCATAATGACCCCTCCTTGGGTTTCTGAGGCAGTATCACTAAAGAAGTAAATTGCCCGACCTTCCTTCTGAAGAGTGGCTGGTGGATTTGAACTGCCAGCCTTCTGGTTAGCAGTCACCCCAGAGCACCCTCCCAAGGTACAAAGTGGGATCTTTTCAAAATGGGTTCTTGGCATCATTTGATTAGGTGTAAAGGAAGGACTGATGGATATGGAGGAAGTTGGAATCCTCTGCAGCAGTTATAAACAAACCAAATGTGCACATAGCAGAGGGCTTTTGAAAATACAGTGTCAAGTGACAAAAATAGAGTAACATATATAACACAATACCATTTTTGTCATTTAAAAGTACATGTCTCAAATGACAACATGCATCTTATAAATCGTAGAAAAACACTTAAAGATAAAAAGATTAAGATTAACACAATAAAATTGTTGTGGGGTGGGGTGGTGGAAGGAAGAATATAGAACACAGGGAGGGAGGGAAGAAAGAGGCTTTGTGTGGAACAATGATGGTTATATGCTTTGAACTGAGGATAATGATAAATGTGTGTGTGTATGTAAGAGAGAGAGAAAGAGACCAGCAAAACAGCTAATGTCACGTAGACACAAAAAATTCTCAACTTTATACTTCAGAGAAATGGGGTCAAAATGTGCTCATTACCAAAAACCTGGCTTCAAAGCAAAAGAAGATTAAAGTGGATGTAGCTAAAACCCAGAGAACGGGCTGTCACATGTACCTTAGCACCCCAAGAACCTGGCATATTTGGAACATGTTGTTGTTGTTGTTATGTGCCGTCGAGTCAGCCCTGACTCATAGCGACCCCTCCTTGGGTTTCCGAGGCAGTATCACTACGGAAGTAGGATTGCCCAACCTTCCTTCCGAGGAGTGGCTGGTGGGTTTGAACCGCCAGCCTTCTGGTTAGCAGACAAGTGCTTTAGCCACTATGCTACCAGAGCTCCTCATTTGGAACATAAGCAAGCACAAATAGCTCAATCTATTCTTGTTGAAACAACAATTGAAAAAAATATGACAAGGACTGTGCTGAGAAGGTAGAAGCCCAACAATCCTCAATTAGCTACCTGTGAATGTTTCTAAAACCCACCCATTGCCGTCAAGTCGGATCCGCCTCATAGCAACCCCTCTTTGGGCTTCCGAGGCCATATCACTATGGAAGTAGATTGCCCCACCTTCCTTCCAAGGAGTAGCTGGTGGGTTTGAACTGCCAGCCTTATGGTTAGTAGTCAAATGCCTTAGGCACTACGCCACCAAAGCTCGGTGAATGTTTCTAGCAGAGTTAAATATTTATTGCTAGTGATCAGATTACAAATTAAATCACCATAATAACTGGACTTTCACCTTCCTTGGTCCTCCTCCTTTGTAAAGGTAATCTACAGTTAAGTCATTTAGACTCATTGCCTGCCAAAAGAACCACAATCTCTGTGCCTGCCAGTGTGAGGTACAATGTGGCTGCATCACAGCTCGCTTCTCAAGCAAGGCCCGTGCCCCCTTGAAATGACATGCAAAATTGTCTGCATGCATATCTTCTTAGGGATACAGTCCATAGCTTTCCTTCCATTTTCCAAGAGGTATCCAATATCCGCCCCTGAAAGAATCCAATTGTGAGTACATAGGGATATGTTTTCATCTTCTTTCTACTTTTCTATATATTTGAAATTTCCCATAATTAAAAAAAATACTCTTCTTTAAGAAAAAAGAATCCATTTGATCTGATAAGTGTTGGTAAATAAGATCATCTGATAAAATTAGAATAACAATCAAGGATTAAGTTTCATTTTGAAGAAGAGCTAACAATGTGATGGTATCAACAAGCATCAAGTAATAACACCACTATTTACATCAATCAGAGTTCCTCAAGAGAATTCTATTCATCCATTATTTAATTCCCCAAGTGTATGGAATCTCCCTTTGAAAACTACTGGCTATCCTGATTAAGACTATATAGGACCTTATGGTTGCCTTCCTACTACCCTTCCAACAGCCCAAACTGTACTGCTGCCTTGTGATTTGGGACAGAGCTTCAAGTGTAGGCCCTGACTGATCTAATCCCTCTCCCCTACCATAGTAATTGGTTCAAATAGCTCAGGCCCAAGCCAATCAGAACTTAGCAATGTTCCAGCCAAAAGGATTGGTTTAGGTTTGGACATAGGACCTAATTTGGCCAATGAGACATGAGGGGAGATATGCCAGAGACATGTGGTAAAGAAAATTTTTCACTCTTCTAAAAGGAAGTCTCACTCTCCTTCCAGAAAGTGAAGTATTTGGATTTTAAGCCTGAATCTGCAGCAGTCATGTTGCCACTATTAGACAAGCCAGGCTTGGAATAAAGCTAACACTGCAGAAAGCAGAATAGCAAAATTCAAACAAACTGAGCTCCTGATAACATTGTTAAACCAGAGTCAAACTAATCTTTAATCCTACCCTACTTTGACCTTTCCAGTTACCTGAATCGAGAAATCCCCTTTATTATTTACCCCATTTGAGTTTGGTTTCCTGTTACTTACAAAAGGAGGCCTGGTGGTGCAATGGTTAAGGCATTCAACTGCTAACTGAAAGGTTGGCAGTTTGAACCCACAGCTACTCCATGGGAGAAAGATGTGGCAGTCTGCTTCTGTAAAGATTTACTTCCCTGGAAAAGCTGTGGGGCAGTTCTACTCTGTCCTATAGTGTCATTATGAGTCATAATAGACTCAAAGGCAACAAATCAGGTTA